AGATTGTTTGATTTCATGTAATTATACATAAAACTGCCAATTGTTTTTTCATCTGTGATAATATCTAAGTTTCTTATTATTGGTAAAAAGTTTATGTAATCATTAATGTATTTTTCATCAATGTGACCCTTTACTTCAGCCACGAATAAAGTATTTTTCTTTCTAATAATTTCCAGTGCTTTTGCTTTCTTTGTTGCTGTATCACAAATGATAACACCATTCAATCTTCCCGGCATATACATTTTATGGTCAGTATATTGAATGAAATCATGAGGATTAGATGAAAATGATGAAGGATATAATGAATTAAAATCAACACCAACGAAATGAGTCATAATGTTGGTGGTGTCCTCATTTGATACAGTTTTAGTTTCTGGACTATATGAAAGTTTATTAATGTGCGTGATTCCTTTAAGATTTACTCTATGTTGAACATTTGATAGACCACCAGTAATTCCATTACGGAGAATGTGATAAGCTTCAACTGAATCTAAAGTCATTGGTAAATTATTTTTTAATGCATAATTTTTTAAATTGATTCTTAAACGTTGAACATCTTCATCTTTTATTTGATTTTACGACATTGCAATAACAACACATTAACTGACAATTTTCTTTGGTATGTGGTTTTTCATTATCGATTCTATCCAATGTTGGTTTATTTGCATATGTAAACGCTTTACCACACATTTTGCATTTAGATGAAAGGATTAAATCGTGATAGTATTGAAAATCATCCATTGAAACATTATTTTTAGTATCTCTTTCTGCTTTTTCATCTTGTTTCTTATATGATTCAATTTTATATTTCCAATACTTTTTCGTTAATTCAAAACTTGATTCTATCTCCCTCGGGATATTTTTCATTAGGATTAAAGTCTTTATATGCTAAAGCGTAACGAATCATTGAAGCATTCGATGATAAAAGAAAGATTATGAAGCGTGTCAATTTTATAAAACAAATGTTTCTTCAATAATTTTAATCAATTGGGTCAATTCATAATTTCAACATCTTTATTGCAATAATGAATAAAATATTCTAATCTATTCTTAAAGTTTTTAGCATCATTGAGATATATTTGATAATCACTATCTGATATAGTTTCTTGAGTTAATGCTGAATAAAATGAATCTTGAGTGAATGGTTCCACTTTATATAATTCTTCTTCGTAATTTTCCCACGTGATGAATTGATAAGGGAAAAAGGATTTAACACGTGATTTATTGTTTCCGAAATCTTGAGTGAATTGGTCTAATGTCCCACCAGCTATATAATTTCTGATGTCAATAAATCTCAATTCATATGGAGCGTTTGTTTTCTTTTACAATGACTTGCTTAAATTGTGAAGATGAACCCAGCATTGATTTTATTTTCCATTTGCAGTGTTTAAATCACGAAGAATTAAATTTAAATCAAACTTTCCCGAATTAAAACCTATGATATTCACTTTATTGAATTCCTCATCTAGAAGTTCTTTAAATGCTTCCTTTGTTTTTCATTTAATGTATGGGACAAAGTCCCGCCGTTTGCGGCTTCATTAATTCTTCATATTGTTCAATATTTGATTTAGCAACTAATGAACGGTTGAAAATAAAAACTCAATCCAATCAGAAATAAAAGAATCACTCGAAGTTAAGCAAAATTCCTCGTGTATGTTTTATCATTTAATTTAACCGTTGATGATACCATGAATGGTTTTAAGTAAGCGTTCAAGTTGCACACTCAGAAAGTTGTAATTCTTCTTTAGTCTCTAATGTTTCGAAGTCAAAAGTAATATAATATCTTGTCGGTTGATAATATTCCTGCAAATTGTGAGCTAATAACCACTGATATATCTTCTGTTTCGTAATATGTGGTGCATATGGTTGCTGTGTCTTTTGCAACTGAACGTCTTGAATTAATCTTCCATTATTTTCTTTACATTTCTCACAATGCTTTAAAATCTTCTTTGGTTTTCCTTTCTGGATCATCACGGATAGAATAAACTTCTTCTTTTACAAAATGGACAAACTTTATAGCGGTGAGTGCTTCAACGTCTGTTATTCTGTCAGCGTGAAGTTTTCCACATGGACTCTGTGTTAATAAAATATTTACTGTTTCAAATTCTGGATCTATCATTATTGATTCCACTAATGGAAAGTCTACCTTATTTATGTCCACGTCTTCTGGTTGAGGATCACAATAATAGAAATCAATATTAACATTTAACATTCTCGCTAATCTCTCACTTTCTGATGAAATGTCAAACCCTTCATATGCATCTATTGCTTCATTTAAATAGCTTCTACGAGTTTTAGGATTAACACCATCAGGAATGTTATAGAAGCGTTTAAATAACCTTCTACCTTCTGCTCTAATTTGATTATCATTCATTTTAGCTGTTCCGTTTTTGTTCATTTATGTAAGAATAAAAAATTAAAAAATAAATAAAAATAAAGTTTATTTTTTAAAGTCCATAAAATGAATTAAGAACACATAAATTTTTATCATCCGCGACGTGACGAATACATTTTAATTTACTCAAGAATGCGTACCCTGATACATTAAATCTAATTCCTGTCTTGTTTAATTTCACAACTTTGAAAAGGAATGTATGAATAGCTATAAAATGATGAGAAGATGTTTTATGGGTTGCTTCCATTTTTTCTGAAATAAATGAATAAATATAATGCTTATACGTTTTCATATCTTTTATATTCTTAATAACGAATGGTATAGACCTTTCCACTTCATCTTCCTTCGGTGCTGTTCTTTCATATGAAACATTATTAGTATCTTCAACAATGAAACCACAATCACATAAAATTTTATATGTTCCAATGGTTTCTTTTGATATTTTATCTAATAAACCAAAAACTTTATCAACACCCGTGCATTTATTTAAATAATAATTTGTGTAAATATCATGATCTTCTTTCTTAATCGTATTAGTTGCATATGTCACGTTTTTAAGAGCTTTTTTGAATTTTTCGGAATCTAAAGGTGGTGAAAGTAGGATACAGGGGTATTCTTCATTATCAATAAATTGTAACTTATGTTTACGAATAAATTTAGTACCTTCTTCTGAAAGTGTTTCGTCTATTTCACCATCTAATAAATTTTGTGTTGATTCTGAGACTGTTCCATATTAAGTTCTGTCAAAATGTAAGCTATTCAATTCTATCGTCGGGGGAAGTATCACAAATCTATTAATTTTTTTGTAAAAGTATACAAAAACATATGGTGTTCAATTAGTTTATAATAATATAAATATTAAGATTATCCAAAATAAGAAAAACTAGGTTTTGAGAACACTTTTGAGATGATAATCAAAATATTTTGATTGAAAAATAATATATTATTTATCAGATATAGAATGTATTTTTTTCAAATTTAAAAATTCTGAAAAATAAACAGTTTTGTAAAGTAAAAAAAATGAACGAAAACTCGAGACCTCGTATTCCAAATGAATGGGTAAGATATATGTATGAAAAACTTGAAAGTGGTGAGTAAGGATGTCAATTTGGAAGAAAAGTGAGAAAATTTTGATTGTGAACTCATCTCTAATATTTTGGCTCCTTAATATATTTGAATCATGATCTTTGAGAAGAGTTCTCAAAAGTATTCACAAAAGCTATTTTTCCTTGAAATTTAAAAATCCTGTTTATTATATATTACCGAATTCAATTCCCTACATATTTCAAAATATTCTATGAGCATTTCAATTTTTGAAAAAAACATATTTTTTCCAAATATATTTATTATCATATTTCTAATAATATTTCCTAAAGCGTCACTTTTTACTTCCTCGATGATTATTTCCCTCTCAAAAAATTCAATAGCTTACATTTTGACAGAACTTAATATGTAACATTATATTTTTCAACTTCTCTTAATTCCTTAATTCTTTCATCTATTTCATCTCTTATTTTTTTCAGTCTTTCAAATTCATTGTATTCATCATCTTTAATCCGTTCTTCATAATATTCAGGGAAAACATCAGGTTCTTTAGGTTTTTCTTCTTCAGATTTAGGATATAAGAAATTTATAACATCATCTTTATTCATTTTCCATCATAATCTAAATCATTTAATAACTCGGCAAATTTTTGACAATTTCTTAATAATATTTATTAACTTCATAACCCACCTCCTCTAATATATCCTTTATTTCCTCGTTTGTGAATCCTAATTTTTTAACGTTGTTAGTTTTGACGCTCATTTCATACAAAATAAAAAAATAAAATAATAAACATAACTAAGTTTTAATTTTTCGTAAGACATGAATTTTTAAAGTTTATTTTATTTTTATATATAAATCATTCTTAAGGTCAAACAGACTTCTTATTTTTATATGAATTCCATCCTCTTTAATGTCATCAATGATTTCCATTTCATTATTTTCAATTTCTTCTTCTCGTTTATGAGGTCTTTGATTATGACTCCATTGATTCCATGAAATTAAATATTCTTTATCATTATATTTATACCTCATTAGCTTATTTTGGCTTTCATATTCATTTAATAATTCACAATCTTCATTTTTAAATTGAAGTTTAACCCATTCAGGATTTAAACAATGTTTAATTAATCGCGGAATATCTGACATCATCTATATATAGCTTCTTTTATAAAAGATAAAAAAAATAAATTATTTTAAAATTAATGTTAATTTTTTAATGATTTATAAATAAATATATTTTAATGCATCGTCTATATATAGATGTAACAAAAAAAGTCACTAAACCCGTCCACATATACTACTAATCTCCTATAGGAACCACAATGCTCAACTCATAAAGAAATAGGCTGCAATGGACTGGTAGGTTCTTAACATACTATGAAAAGAAGTCCCAATGTTGAATTTGAAAAATGCCGATTTAAAAACACGTTATTTTCAATTTTCACACATATAAAACAAGTTTACATATAGAAATGATGATAAATTCATCATTGTATTGGCATGAATTGCTTATTAAAAAGTGACAAAATCTAAAACTTTCAGGAAATTTGGGATTTTTATGAGCGCTCGAGTCTCTTACTCTGAGCTTATAGCAAGAGCAAGAGAGAAAAGAGATGCCGAATACAAAAAACTATCCAGTTTTACTATATCCCAAATAGAAACTGCTACAGAAAAAGCAATGGACTTGTTAATGACGAAACCGGTACTTCCTGTTGATTGTGCAACAATCGTTTTCACATTAATAAAGCTCAGGAAGGATCACCATGTGAAATTATTCAATATTCTCTCTTCAATTTATCCAACGAAAAATGATAACGATAATATTTTCATTTCGTTCGTATTTTCGAAACTTATCAAACATTTAAAGCGCGATTACCTTTCTCTTTTCTTAGATAATATTGAGAAGAATTTATCTAATTCAGAAACAGCTCTTTCAGCTGCATACTTCATTAAATTCAGTGTAGAGAACGCGCCAAGCTCGATTCTGTTCTGTTTTACCAAATTAATTAATGTATTAAAATTATCATTAACAAATAAAAACGTAAAAGTTCAATTTGTATCATATGAGACACTGAAAAAACTCGTGCAATACCTTATCAAGACTAGGACTCAACAAAAACATGACGCAGAAATAGATTTCGTTAAAATTTTATTAGATTCTACAATTTTTGAATTGACTTCGAAGAATTCAATGTGTGATTTACTTATAATTGCTGTATATTTAGAGGTTTTGCCAAATGATTTATCTTCTGACTTTTTACAAAGATTATTAGCACAATTAATCAATATGTACGAAGGATTTACCAACGAATTACGCGGTGTTGCATTATACGTTATATCACTACTATTAACTTACACTCTTCCCGTTACAATTCAAAAGAAAATCGAAATATACAGAAATAACTTATGGTGTGAGGCTTCTTGCCCAACAAGATTTACTGTATTGGCTCTTATACATAGATTACAAGCACCAGATATAGAATTAGCAAACAATTGCAGATTTTCGATAATTAAAACGATTTTTAGACACAAATTACTTGAAGTATCAAAGCTAGGCATTATACTACTCAAAACTTTATGCGATTTAAAGCCAGATTTCATTACTACATATAAAAATGAAATTATTTCACTTTTACTAGAGACAGAAGTTGATGAAACATATTGCAACACAATTCCCAGCATTGTAGAAAAGATCTGGGACGATTTCAGGCCAAATTTAATCAATTTAATTTTAAAAAATCCAGGTGTGCTCTATAACGCTCCATTTTTGATATTTTTGTCTAATTGCAAGAAGTTAGAGAACCAACAGATCCGAAAGATGCTCTTTATCCTCACAAAAAACTCAAATCCGCTGATAAGAGGAGTTTGTCCCGACGCAATCTTGGCCCAGTACGATAAAGACGATACCGATATCATGGAACCGATTAATTTGATTTTAGCTTTGGCCCATAACGATCCAGTACCTTTTGTAAGAGAAAAAGTCTTAATTTCGATTCCAGAGAGCTTGTTTATGTATTTAACCAATGACCAAGTGCTTAACTCGCTATCAACATTGACACACGATGATAATCTTAATGTTCGGAACAAAGCAACGATATTATTATGTAAAATATCGAAATACAATCCATTTGTTTGCTATCCGATCTTAAGGAAGATACTATTAGACTCCATGTTCATACTCAACTCCAACAGACCTCTTCTAGTTAAGGAAGAAAGCGCAGTTCCTCTTCCAGAAGTAATTTCAGCGATTATCGACTCGTTTTCGGTTTATGCGTCAACATTTTGTGATATATCGCTGCACCAGATCAGTTTCCAGTCGTTTAGAGAGCTTTCTTACTTCGAATCTAAAGCGATTTTGAATTTGAACACGACATTGATCAAAGTCATCGGAATCATCGCCGAATCGAACATGAATCTGTTATCCAACCAAATTGGCCAGTTCCACAACTTCTTTTTGTACATGTTGCAGCAACATTTTCCAAAAAACCTGAAATTAGCAATTATCCACACGATGTACTCGTATTTGACCCACGGATGTGATACATTGAAGCTAGATATCAAGAGAGTCTTCCCAACATTGATAAATATAGCTTCAATGTGGAATTCAAGAAAATTAAACATCGCAGTATTGAAACTGATCGGATTCATAGGTGCGATCAAAGATCAGACCGACCAAACAACACAGCCTATTGAAGAAACGGTTTCAAACCATTATTGCGATGAAAACTTGATTTCATTAACTTGTAGAATACTTCTGAACATATTAACAGAGAACAGCCTGTTGATATATCACCTGGAAACTGTAAAGGCACTAGTGGATATATTCGCAGACAAATCAATGACGTTCGGATTCGAATTTTTCAAAGATTTCATTGAAAATTTTTTGTCAAAATTCGATTCACCGTCAAATCTCCAGATCTACTTGGGATACATCGGCAGGATATGCAGCGATTGTCCGCCGTCATGGGTAGCACTCATTGGCAACGAAATACTCGATTTGGTCATGAAAATTATGTCAGATCCGGCAAACGAACAAAATTTGGCCGCAATATTCAATTTATTACCTATATTAGTCAAAAACTACTCTGACATATTTATTATGTATTTAAGTGGCTTAATTAATTTCTTATTGGATTCTTTGTACAAATACGCTTCAGAAAACGCTGAAATATCAAAGAACGCGTTGATCGCTTTGATATCTATCAGATCTCTGTCTCATGACTACTTGTTTTTGATATTTCCCGATTTAATTTCAACTGCAAATTCAAATGACACGAAGTCTGTTGTAAAACTGTATACTTTGATAGCATTGAGAGTTTACATACAGAGTTGCGATTGTTCGTCGTTCGTTTCAGCTACAATTCGCTGTGCATTAAATGCAATTATCACAAGTAAGCAAAATACTGATGCAAATGTAGAAAGAAGTAATGTAATCATTGAAGCAGCTCAACAAGTCATCTATTCAATCATGGTTATCTTCGGAAAGGACTATTTTGTTTTTCATGATTCATATGTCAAGGAAACATTCATAGAAAACAAGATTCCTTTGACGAGATATCAAATAATACATGATGCTGACTCTTCATTCGCCCTATCTGACTATAAGTTCATTGATACTTCTATTCCAATTTCAGCGACCACTTATTCAAAATCTTCTTCCTCTCAAAATTTGAATGCCTTTCAAAAATCGAATGGCTCATTCAATTTGAAATTAACACCAAATTCATCAGCAGACAATTTCGAACAGAAAGTTGAAATTTCAGAACCATGTCACTTTTTGGAAGTGAATGAAACCGAATTAAAAGATGCATTTAGCTATAACGAGACAGAAACACTATGGAGCCGCAAAGAGTGGTGGACAAGGATTGTCACAATCACTATAAAGAACTCTCCAAACAGATTTATTCATTCTTGTTATTATTTATGCACGAATCTGATTCATATCGCCGAGAAACTGTTCAACGCAGCCTTCTTGTCATGTTGGAAGCACTTAGACAAAGAAACAAAGATAATTATCTCAGCATCAATGACAATGGCTTGTAACAGCGATAGTTTACCGAACGATATCAGATTTAACCTCGTCAAACTCTTCGAATACATGGAACAGAACAACGAAAGCATGATGTACATGGATAGTACTGTTATTTTACGAGCTGCGGAGAAATCTTTCTTATTTGAAGACGCTCTGTATTTCGCTTCAAAGATTTTCCCAAACAACATCGAAGATTTGGTCAGAGTTTGCGGACATTTGAAATTAGACAAAACTATTCAAGGATTAACGAAAATGATACCTTTAGACGAGATGAAGAACAAGCCAGCGGCATTATACGACCAATGGATGCAAATCAACATGCACAGAAAGTCTCTAAAGGCAGAAACAGTAAATTATTTCAGATCTCTCAAACATCTCAGCAAATGGAGACAAGTAGCCAACGAAAAACCATCCAGAAACAACATGACACCACTGGAAATGAATGAATGCGCTCCAATCTTTGCAGCGGCGTATTTTAATTTGGAAAGATGGGATGAATTGGGAGAAATGATTGATATCCTCAAGAAAAACTCTGTATCGACTGTTATCATGGAAACTGTCTACAAAATAAAGAAAGGAGAAACAGATAAAGCAAAATTAATGAAAGAGGTCGAAAAAGGCTTTGTTTTGCTTGCAAACAAGGCCAAAAGCGTATTTAAGCATAACAATACAGAACTCTATCCATCAATCATCAAAGCGCAGCAGTTACAAGAAGTTACTGAAATTATTAATTGGTCTGGTGAACAAACACTCAAATTATGGACAGAAAGGCTTGAGATGTGTCCTAAAGACCCGTATTTGTACAGTAACATCCTTCCGATTCGCTTAGCACATACAAATGTTCAGATACAAATGCCTGTCATCATAAAACTGTTGAAATTGTACTTGAAGACGAACAATTACGAGGGATTCGATGGTTTGATTGACAACCTGTTCAATGATGGCCAGAAAATAACTCCCTACATCAAGTTTTTGCAAATTAAATGTAATTGGCAAAAAGGTGACACTTTTGAGAAAGAAAAAAATTTACAAATTCTTAAAAAGACATTTGTAAATAATAACACGATCAAACCTAAGCTATTGGCGCGTATTTATTACACAATTGGTGATTGGATCATTCAAAACGACAAACCACCGATAAAACGCGAGAAATTGCTAGAAACAATACAATACATCAATTTCTGCTTCAACCAAAAAGAGTATTTCTACAAAGCCACCCACAGATGGAGCTGGGCAAATGCTTGTTTGTATAAACAAGACAATTCTCAGATAAAATGTGCCGCAAACGCTGTTTTGGGATTCATCCAATCGATAGAGAAGAGGGAAGAGTCGTTTTCCGACATGATACAGATGATTTACTTAGTTTTCACTGCAAATTTCAGTGAAATAGAAATCCAGAAAATTGGAGAAAAATTGTTGAAATTTGACACAAAATTTTTACAAATTTCTCCACAACTTTTCGCAAAACTTGGAAAGACATCATCACAATCACAGCAACTAGTGATCAAACTGCTCCAAAAACTCTTCAAAGTGCATTACCACTCCCTCTTATTCCCTTTGTTGCTCTGTATAAGAGAAAATTTACCAAATTCTATAAGAATTGATCAAGATGTCACTTTTTCAAGTTTACAAGTCACTTCACCTGAAGAAGAAGATAACAATTATGAAGAAGACTTAGCAGAAACTAATTTCCTTAGTGAGTGTAAGAATGAATCCGCTGCGGAGTTGTTGAATTGGTTCTACAAAATTAATCCAAAAAGTGTCAGAGAAGCCATTACAATTTCTGAAGGTTTGTTGAGGTGTTCTAGCACAAAAATAGAATTGTTGTTTAGTGCCATTGGCCAAGCGATGAGATTGATGATGACAGGGAATTTTTCAAAAGCGAAATTTTTGTTGGAAGAAGCATTGCAAAGTCCGTCAAATTTAAACGAAGACAAAGAATTCATGTCCAAGATCTACAACGAAGTAATGACTGTCTGCAAGACAATGAACTACCAGAGCTGCTCGAAACTGCTCATTGTCTACAACACAATCAAGAAATACATACAAAGAATCGACCACATAACAATTAATGACATTTATCCAAATTTGTCACTTTTGAAAGATACAAAAATATGTGTCCCCGGCACATACAAAGCAAATGGAGAATTATCTAACATATCTTACTTCGAGCCTGTCCTCAAGTTCTTCCCTTCGAAGCAGAGACCGAGATTATTAATAATTGTTGACACAAACGGACAAAAACATCTGAATTTGCTTAAAGGATGCGAAGACTTGAGATTGGATGAAAGAATCATGCAGTTCTTTGGTTTGATTAACCAACACATCAAACACGACTTGAAATACAAAAACCACGAACTAAATATCTTCAGATACTCAATTACTCCAATTTCAAGAAGAAGCGGTTTAATTGAATTTGTAACTGATGCAGATACTATTTATTCATTGCTCAGCGAGTACAGGAAGATAAAGAACACAGATCCAATACTCGAGAACCACTGTATAGAGAAGATTGTTGAGTGCAACATCGATTCTTTGTCAGTGATACAAAGATACGAAGTTTTGAAAGAAGTCAAAAACCAAACGAAAGAAAACGAAGATGATTTGAAGAACATAATGTGGTACAAGAGTCCTTCAGCTGCTGATTGGGTTCTCCACCTTGTGAACTTCAGCCAGAGCTGTGCAATGATGTCAATGATTGGATACATCATCGGATTGGGAGACAGACATCCTTCCAACATAATGATTCATCAAAGAACAGGATCAATGATACACATAGATTTCGGAGATTGCTTCGAAGTCAACAAGATAAAGGTCAGATTCCCTGAAACAATTCCCTTCAGACTGACAAGAATGTTTGTCAATGCTTTCGGTCCAACAAAAATTGAAGGAAACTTCAGAATAACATGCAAAGAAGTTCTTTCTCTCATGAGAACACACAAAGATTCGATCATGGCTGTGCTGGACATTTTCCTTCAGGAACCACTGGATATTGACGTAATTCCTGCAAAGGAAAACAACAAAGAGAACGAGGAAGGGCAAGTGAATGATGAGGAAAACTTCAATTTCGGAGACAACTTCAGTTTGCAGAGTAATGATGACGAAGAAGTCATGATTCCAATCATAGAATCAATGAACAGAGTAATGTGTAAGATAAGCGGAAGAGACAATGAGAAACAGAGCGAATTGGATATACCTCAACAAGTTGACCAGTTAATAAGAGATGCAACAGATATGTATAACTTGGCTCATCTTTTCCATGGATGGTCACCTTTATGGTGATTTTTTTATTTATATTTTTTTGTTTATTTTTTATTATTTGTTTTAGAATTAAAAATAGCAAATTCTATTTTGATTTTGATGTGCTTGTTTTTCTTTATTGGAGCAAATAGTATGATCTCGTAATATGGCTGCTTAATTCATTGTCGAAAAATCATCATTCACGATCAATTCTCATATAATTTTAGCTCATTTTTGGGATTTTTTGTGATTCTAATTTTCTTCTTCTAATGGCATTAAATCTATAAAACAAACATTTTATTGTATATGGAAATAATAGCAGAGACATAACTTGTGGCAATTTATTGTTTCCAGCTCCCAATTGCTATTCTATAGTAGCAATATTTCAGAGAATGTAGAGAGCAAATAGGAACGAATGAATCTCAGTCTAATAATCGGATCATTCTTTAATTAATACATAAAGCAAATAGCAAATTATTTTATCGCGTTTTCACAGCGGAATCCTCTTCTTGATTCAAATCTCAATTCAAAAGATGTGTCTATCATGGCGTTCTTTATGCTATAGATTTCTAATGCATTATGTAATTAATAACAAGAGTTATTATGGTATAATTCGTATTATTTTGTGAGATGCTATGTAAAAAGTGACATTTTTGAATGTCTGAACTTTATATTAGTCCTTATTCCGTTTCTATTGCTCAAAAAATTGTTAAAGATTATTTCCAAACAGTTATGGGCCATAGAAGTGATGTATTGATGTATTATGCTCATGACGCTTATTTACAGTGGGATGGAAAAGATTATCACGGCCATGGAGAAATTCAATCATTTTTCGAACAGTTACCTGCACAAGTTACATTCTATATTACAGGATTTGACGTTCAATCAGTTTCTGAAACAGATCTTTTAACAATGCTTGTTGTTTTCGGATCATATCAAATGCCAGGTGCAAGAATGCAAGATTTTCATTGTTCATTCTTTATTCAAAGTCATAATGAAAACGCACTAGCAATTATCAAATCTCAATGCTTCTCCTGCTTCTAAAATATATTGTATCGATAAAAACTTGCGATGGAATAATACTGAAACATATTTAACTTACAATTCGACAAAAAATGAAAAATATTATCCAATAATCTCATTTCTTATATAGATTCAGATTTCAGTATCAATTGCCTAACTTGTATTGACTATCTTACTCTCATTTGTAATTTCTTGTTTAAATTTTATAGAATTTTATTAATTTTAACTGTTTTTACCTTTCCTATAATTGAAATTTAAGTTATGTGAGTTACATAAACATATGAGAACCATAGTTTTCAAATAAAAAGAAGAAAATCAGAAATAGATTAAATATTTACATAAATAAAACGAAAAATAGGAATTCCCAAGAAAAATGATTAGTATGGATTCCTGTTTGAGTTTGTGTAGTACAATTGGAAACATTTTTGAGCAGATCTGTCAATTTCGTTGCATCTAGCACGGAGATTATCACTATCTGTTCCGATGCACTTGAAAAGTTGTACTTTCATGTCCTTTGTCTCAGAAAAGAAAAGACATTCGTACCAAAGTCTGTATCCGATAAAAAATGACACGTAGTACAGTCCTATCATGAATTTCGATCGAAGAACAACAATTAGAGTACTTGTATGACCTGATGTATCCGATGTGAAATAATCGACGCAATCAGGACAAGAAATTGAAGCTTTATATCTTGTGTGTGGCTTTGCATTTGCTTGTAGCTCCGAAATCTTCGAGTCGAGAGCAGATTTAGCGCTATTGGTCAAATAAATATTTGGAGTTGTTGTAACTCTTAAATTATCTGAATTGCAGATCACCGGATATGGTGTTACATCCTGCCATGTACTATAATCAAAATTGATTGGCGATGGTAAACGGGAGTTTTGAGCTGATGAATTCGCTGATTGAGTGTATTGAGCGGATATTGTGATTTGTGGAGCGTTCCCTACGTATTGTAGGATGGTTTTACGAAAATCTTTCTTTGTGGGTGAATCGATTAACTGAATTAAAAATAAATTTGCTTGATGAGCTTTGATAATGTATATAATAACTAATAAAACGAGTATGAATCCTATAAACCATGAGTCGTAATCAATAAACTTCCAGGAAAATAGAATTCCATAACAAATATTTGTCAAAAAATCCGTAACAGCTGTTCCTATCAGCTTCGAAGTTAGTGTTGGCGAATAGCACACCATAAAGTATGTTACGACCGTTGGCATAGCCCATAGGACGATTTGTCCGATGTGCTTCAACAACGGCATTCTTCACTGAGTAGGAAATGAATGATTAAATAAAGGATTATTTAAGAAAAAGTATTAGTGTTACCAGTTAATTGATATTTTCATGGAAATTCAGCTTCTTAAAGCGTTTCATTTTCATTCATTGATATTTGTTGCATTTTATTAGAACACTTCTATATATGTAATGTTTGAATGGATATTAAGGTGAAAATCTCTTTAAAATCATAATATAATAGAAGTGATTTTGTAAAATTTGTATTTTCTTTATATACATATACTTTTAGGATTTAGATCACAAACAAACACATTTTATACATGATTATGTCAACTACTAAAAGATAGCTGAACTGAGATAAATTAAAAATCTTGATTTGGGCCAAAAAAGTAGCCAAACATTCTTGTATCAGAATCCTTTTCTCCACACTTCTGACTGATATGCGTAAAACGCGGTCTTTCTGGATTTCCAAACCATTTTTTATGAAGATATGTTAAGTTGAGAGTTTTCAAAGCAGGACAAACATCTCTATCATATATCATCAATGGACATATTCTATCAAACTGATGTATAACTACTGGTGCGTATTTGCCATTCAATTCGTACATTTTTCCGTCTTTTCTTGGATGTTGCTCAAAAATTGAGTAGCAAGCTGAGGAATAGTAATGTGCATCGAAGTCAACATTAATATCAGTGTATAGACCTCTATAATATACATAATTCAGTATAGATTGGTCATTTACGTTCTCTCTGAAGAAAATTTTTGGATTAAACATGGTTAGATACAATTCATAAACTTTGAATGATGGACCCATAAAAATACCACCATTTAAAAGCAGTTTATTACTATAAAAATCCCCAGTAAAGTTATCATCTGTGTAATTCTGTTTTTCAATAGCCCAGCTATGGTGTTTAAATGTTACACGTTCAATTGAAACAGTAACTTTATCTTTCGGCAGATGCTCATCAAATGGATCCCCTTGGAACAAAGTATCAAAAATATCATTGATGAAAATTCGATTAAAGAAAGATCCGTATTGATCTAAGAAGGACAGTATAACTAAATTTCGTAATGTTCTCTCATCAACACCTTCAAAACTGTTCAAAGTAAGGAAATTTGCTCCACAATTTTGGAGCTCTTTCAATGTTTCATTAGTGAAAAATTTCAAATATCCTGGAGAAACAAATATGAGAACGCCGCAATTGCAGCCTGTATTTCGAAGGCTCCTCATCCAAGTTAAAAAGTAATGAATTTGATCGCCAAAACCGAATGTAAGTGCTAGATCTGCATTAGTACTCTTTTTTAAATCATGTCGTTTTGGATTTAAGCATAATTTGCAATTTTTTAATGATTTTTCATCGCGAAGCTTATTGATAAGTAATGGATCCTCGATTTTTATTGGTCCTCCTAAGTATTTATTAACTGCATCTAGCAAAAAACTTGGCTTTGAAAAGAATGCATTTGAATCTATAGTTGGATTGGATTTTATCTTACTGATGATAGTGATAATGATAAATAAAACTGATAGAAATACTAAATTTAGCTTGGCATATTTCCAATACAGTTGTCGATTTCTCGCTTTATAATAAGATGTGCTTGCATGATACATTTCTGATTTCATTTTAGTAATTTAAACATTAATCATACTATCAATTCATCTTATCATATCATCATTCTCTGAATTAATATATTTAGTAAAATATAATTCTTTTTTTAGACAAAAACTTTATATACATTCATAGAAACTGAGATGCTCATAGTTATAGAACTAAAGATAATGGAAACCTAATAAGATATGATCTTGAAATGATGTTGTTATTGAATTTTGTAAAAAAGATTGAAGTATGTGCTTATTACTGCATGAATTGATCACTAAAGTTCGGATTACTTACAAATATTTACATAATTATTAAAATTTCAATAAAAAAACATAATATGAAATATATATTAAACTTGAACGCTGTTTTCGTTAAGAGGTGATTCTTCTGCAGGAATATCTGGCAGAGCGCTAATTAATTCTTCTATAGAGCTAGGTGTTAGTAGCTCTTCCTCTTCTTCATCGATGTCAAATGATTTATCAACGAAATTGAAGCCTGAAATATTCCCTATCTCTCCTATTGCAGGAGAAACGTATGAATCATTCGGGTTTTCATTGGTAATATAAGGATCAAAATTCTCTAAAGAGAGCCTTGTTGTTAGCTTCGGTACATAGGATGGTTTGTATTCTTTGTTGTATACTTTTTTGAAGTCAATGTCCGCGAAAAACGGATGTGACTTTAAATCTATAAATTTTGGTCGTTTTGCTGGATCTTTGACCAGTAATTTCTTTATAATGTCAACTAAATTGGGATCTGCGTCTGCTGGATACTTTGGTTCTTCTAAAACAATTTTATCATATAATTTATTTTCGTTTTCATCAACGAAAGGTGGGTCTCCAAATATAATTTCGTACATGAGAACGCCAAGCGCCCACTCATCAACTGCATATCCGTAGTTTTTCTTCAAAATTAACTCTGGAGAAATGTATTCTGGAGTTCCGCAGAAAGTTCTAGTAGTCTTGACCTGATTGATATCTTTAGAAAGGCCAAAGTCAACAAGTTTAATGTAACCTTGGCCGTCAAGTAGAACATTTTCTGGTTTTAAGTCTCGATAAACGATTCCTATGCCGTGGAGATAAGTAATTGCTAGTCCTATTTGTGCTGCGTAAAGTTTTGCGTCGAAAATTGGGATTTTCCCAACTTGTGACTTGTGGAATTTCAAATCTCCGCCGGGAACATACTCTAGTCCAAAGTAAAACTTCGATCTTGTCTGGAATGTAAAGTGCAAACTTACTAAAAATGGGAATTTTGCTTTCATCATCAAATTTCTTTCAGCAATAACAGCGCAAGTTCTTCCTGTTTTAATAAGAATTGATTTGTGAACTGATTTGATTGCATAGAGATCGCCTGTATCCTTCTTTTGGCAGAGTCTAACTTTTCCATAAAATCCTTTCCCAATAAGAGAGATAATATTAAAATCATCCATGGAAAGCTTCGGGGATGGAAGGCTTACTGCATGTATTGCTGTTACCCATCTAGTAGCATCTTCAATAGAATCTGCTAAAAATAACATATTTGCTTTGGTTTCTCCAATATTGAATATCGAGAATTTCTTGGTTTGTGTAATTTCTGCTTTTGTGTCTGGATATAGTTTTAGCCGTTCTTCAACAACTTGGCGTGTATCATCTTTATAAATCGTTAATTGATCTCCTTCAAGAGACACAAACCTCTGATGCCAGAAACCATGCAATCTGCTTTTCTTTTTAAGCCACCCGGCGTACGAGAGAAAATCGTCGCAGCCGGGGTGACAACTTTTCATTAATCTGTTTTTTTATGATAAAAAAAAGTTGAATTTCAAAGCAAAAAGTGTTGGAATTAAATTATTTTTCGAAAAAAGCAGTAACTATCATTTATCTAACTATCGTTAATATTGAGACTCAAACCCAACCTCTCAATTTTTTATGTCGATGAACTTCTGTTTTATTATCCACTCATCTTTAAATCTATTGTCGTTGTATGGGGTAATTGCTTTTCAATGAATTAATTGGATAGGACAGTTTTTTATTTTCGGCAGAAGAGTTTCGATGCTTAGTGGCTGAGATAGATACTTCATTTTGCGAGATTCGGCAAGTATAATATATGCCATAGTAAAATTGATTATTATTCAAATTGAAACGTTAATGTATTAAAATGAAACCAAGAAATATTGATAAACACTGTCTGCAGTATCTAGTATATAACTAGTGTCAATTTCTTATATATATGATGGGATTGATTATATTGTTTGAATGCTTAGAATCCTATATTTCAAAATTTTGGGGAAAATCTGTTAATATTTAGAGGATCTTAGCTGTGTCATAGACCTTATTATTAATGGTATTAAGCATAGTCTGCTCATAAATAAAATATATGAAACATTTTCAAATCTTTATGATATTAAAGCTCAACTCTCTGAACAGCATATGTGATGGATATGAAATTCGAAGTTGTTTCTATATATCGGCTCGATAAATGTTGATTTGATACTATTGTTAAATATATATTCCATTCATGATAGCTGATTTAGTTATCTTGCCATCATTGAATGAGTTGGTTTATAAGTAAACATAAATAATATTTCAGAGCTGAAAATGATGGGGAAATGAATAGATGTTAAAATAAAATCTACATCTTTATGAAAAAAATAATAATTGGCTAAATTTGCAATAATAAAACTTGTCCATGGTTATTAAGCTAAGTTGGATTTATCTGGTTCATCATCTGGTCGCTTGAGCATTCCCATTTTTCCAACAGCAATTGAGACTCCAATAATGCATGATATTGTGATGAAGAGCATTACACAGCAAGCAACTAATTCACCATTACAAATGAATGAAACGTATTGCTTAATTGCTTTTTCACATGAAGTTGAACTAGTGCATTGATACTTCTTCATCCATGTCGAAACAACCTCATTTGTAGAATTGTTATCAACGTAATCTGTAATTTGCTTCTTGAAGCGATCTTGAGCTTTATCAGCGGTTAAAACAAGGTTTGTAAGAGTTAATCCAATGGTCGATAGAATAGAAATAACTGTTAATGCACAAAACAAGGCGTGCATAATGAATTTTGTGCCTGATAAATATAATGAACAAACAAGTACAATCATTAAGACAATGCTTCCGAATGAAAGAGCACAAATTGATATGCAAATATCGCGAGGCTTTTTTCCGCCAACAAGTAAAAAGAAGTCGCTATTGAGTTGCTTTGTTAAAATTGCGTGCCAAACACCTGAAATTAAAAAAACAATGATGAAAATTAATGTCAAGTATGCTAGCGATTTAACATACTTGCCCATTTTGTCTCTGACCTTATGATTCCATTCCTCGTTATCCATCCCGAATAAAAATAATACACCTCTCAAATTTTGAGAACTGCATCGTGATTTTAAATCATATTGATTTATTGTTTTAGGCACTAAAGAGATGTCTCAGTCGATCCTTGTCACTTTTGGCAACAAGAATTTTATTTTGCTTTCAAATCAAGTTGTTTTAGTATGGCTAATCATTGAACATGGTGTAGTGATTGGAAACGCTGTTGGTTCGAAAATTTACGACCATGACAGAAATTTTAGGAAATTTACCTTATCTTTTGGCAACTAAAATATTGCGATAAAATCCTTTTCATTTCAGTAAGGATGTCAATTTGGAAGAAAAGTGAGAAAATTCCTAAAATGCTAAAAATGAATTTTCCAAACATATTTTTTTATCTCATTTTTTTGATTTTGAAAAAATTTTGGAGAGAAGATCTCTTCGTTTTTGAATTTTATCACGATGGTTTTAAAGTATATTAGACACATGTATTGATATTACTATTTTTGTATATTTTGAGAGAAAATCCCTAAAAAGTGAGAAAATCTAAGACGGTTTGAGAAAATATATAAACTATTGAAAATTTGAATTAAACTTCTAATTTGGAAAAAAAAATTTGGAAAGAAGAAAATTCAAAAATCGAGATTTAGACTCAGCATCAAATGGAGAACAAAATGTTTCTTCATATGAAGGAAAAAAATTTTCTTGTGAAGAAATAGAGTTTTTAAAATTTTATTGTATGTAATGAAATAAACAAATATTAAAATTATTTTTTGATAACAAGAAAATTCCCAATAGAAAATATTTGAGAGAAAGAAAAAAAGAAAATTGAAAAATATTACTCTCCTTTATATTTCATGAGATTTTAAATTTATTCTCATAAAATTGACAATTTTATACGTTTAGATGAAAATAAGTGATTTTGGTTGAAATAGAAATTATTATTTGCTTACAGCTATCAAATAGATTTTTGCTATTTTGATTAAAATTTGTTAATCAAATTAATAAATTTTTTCTAAATATCTTAAATATCTGGATCACTCACATATACAATGAATTGAACAATAAAAATAATACAAACTCAACTAAGTTTCCTGTCTTTCAACTAAAAAAAATTATGCAAATTAAATTAAATTGTTTATTCAAATATAAAACAAAGATGAAGTAATTACAGTTATCATAAACTTTATGAATAACTCTGTAATTGGTTCAGATTTTCGTAAAAATATTTTTATTAATATCGATAAGAATACTTTTACCTACTATCACAACATATCGATAAACAAGAGTAGAGTGATTTTTATCATCGAAACTTTTTAAAAGCTGTAAGCTGGAAGGAAAAATCTTGTTTTTTCTGAGTTAGTTGTAGAACTATTGATGCACGAGTTATCATTGTGATGCAGAAGGATATCAATGTACTGACTGAAGGATATGAAGTGAATTGAATTTCATTGCATTTCAATTTGATCAAAATTTGTTGAAATGATATGAATGTGTCAACATCTGTATCACTCTCTTTCACTCCTTCCCTATTCTTTCGAGAACGAAGCTAGCTCAGCTTTCGCTGAGCGAATTGACACTTTTGATGCCCTAAACGTACATGCTCTCAAATTTATCGAAAAAAATTATACCACCTAAACTAGTATATTCTTATTTTAAATATGATATTATCCTTAGAATCCACACTAGAATATATTTAAATCAACTTTTAAAAAAGTTCGAATCCTGCGCGTCTCACTTTTTAAATTTTCGAAAAGGAAAATTATATTCTCCTAAAATGAAAACAATTTTCCGAATTGACATCCTTAATTTCAGTTTATTGGTTCCAATGATTAAAGCCTACTCTTAAAAATTAAAAAATTTAAAAAAATGTCCCAGGCCAGAATCGAACTGGCCTCTGATCCGTGTCAAGGATCTATTCTAACCAATATACTACTGGGACTTACCCCATTTGAATTATTATTTTACCTAAGATTAATTTTTAACATCTTTGATTCAACAAATCTAATTCTTACGTTGAAAATAAGCTAGTTGAAATAATTTTCCAATAAGTAATCTTTATGCATACATGGTTGGTACAAATGAACATATTATCAGAAATCAAAATCAAATGCAAACTCAAAATCTGGCATCAATTGATTTACTTCATCAACTTGGTTTACATTTTCAACGGAGCTTTCATTTTCATTCTCCTTTTCACCTTCTGGTTCAGAAATTGGGAAAATTATTACGTTACAATTGTGCCTTCTAAGAAGTTTCCACCTGTTCTTGAGTGAATAATCTGTTCTGTTGTTGAAATATTTTGACATCATAACCCATTTTGCTCCGATTTCTTGATATTTTTTAATTAATAGCACATCTTCTTCTGGTGTCCAAGGATTCTTATTTAGTCCTGGCGAGAGATATTTTACATATCTATCATGACATTGTCTTGAATTTCTATTTCCCATAATGTGGGCAATGATATCCCAATTCTTATCTCCATAATATTGAACAAGTTTCATAAGTTGCTGATCTTCAACTTGTGTGAATTGAGTTTTTGGATGTGGCTTGCCAAAACACTGTGAGATCTTTTTGGATGTTTGCTCCTCACACATATCCAGTGAATTAATGAAATGAAAACTTGATAAATCAGAAATCTATTTGAAAAGAGGTTTGAACGCAATTTGAAAGGAAAATGTATGAGATTTTTTATATAAAAAATTATTTTGAATGGGATTGAAATTATTATGAATCTCCGGTGATTGCAAAAACATTTTTGGATAATTGCGTTTTCTAATGCTACTTAAGCATGTTTGTAAAGCAATAATGGTAGTTGTTGTTCACAAATTTACTCAGAAAACCGTCTAAAGTATGTAAGAAATATAATAAAAACAATAAGTTGGATTACTTGTCAACTCATCATTATTATGTATATACTATATTCAGAAAAAGAACTTATCATTTCATCTGATCTGCTACTTTATATCTGAGAAATTACAAAGAAAAAAAAAACATTCTCTAAAATTATTTCGATTTCGCACAATTTTCAGTGAAATTTAAAAGCAATTCATGTGTCAATAATAAGTAAGTTATTATTTAAATTACAAACAATTTATGAACAAAAAAATTACGATAAAAAGTCTTCTCTTATGAAATATGTGCGAGTCTATTATATTCATTCAAACAACTATATATTTGTTGTATATGAATAACATAAGCATTGCAATAATATCGACATTAATCTGAATCGACAAAATTTGCGTTGATTTGTTACAATGAAATTGATTTATCAAATCAATTGGGTTTTCGCGAAGATATGTATTTGCTTAGTTGTTGATATTCTTGTTTTTCTATTATGAAAAGTGTTATTTTTTTATTAAGAGCTTTAAATACTTGTTTCTTTCTTTCAATTTCACGCTTTTCTCTTATTAATTCGTATGTAATATAGCTCTTTTTGATTTCTTGTCGCAAATTTGGTATATTTTCTTTTGATTTGTTATATTTTTCTTTTAATTGGGCTAATTGCTGTTCAAGCTCATTGTTTTCTTGTTGTATTTCTCTGATTTGCTTTGATAATGATATGATATTGTTGACTTTTTCTTGTTTCAATTTTGCCGCTTGTTTCTGTGCTTCTCTTACTGTTTTTTCATCAAAATTGTAAATAGAATCTGCTATAATTTGTACATTTCTGTTGTGTTTTGAATTAGATTGTGAATTTTCAGAAAAATTCGAAACTGTTTTCTTCGGTTTAGCTATTTTTGGCTTTTGTTTGATAACAATATTATCATACCAATCATTCCATATTGAGCTACATTCTTCATCTATGTCACTAAGAGGTCGAAGGCTCAAAACGGAATTATCACTCATATTTGTCACTTTTTGAGCAAAATATAAAAATCCTTCTTCTCTCGATACTTGGATCTAATTGGATCTCAAAATCTTAGTTGCATTGCTCTGTTTATGATCAAATGCTTTATTCCTTATTAGTTCTATCTTGTATGAATCCAATTCTCCTGAAACAAATGAATTCATAATTCGATGTCAATTATATAGCAATATAATCTAAGTGAATTGCATGCATAGTTAGAGTAATTAAAGTTGTTAAGTCGATATCCATGAAAATAGAAATTTTAGTTTAAAATTTGATAATTGAAGTATATTTCGAAGATAATTCATTAATATGATCATTTTCAGTTTTCTCATAAGGATCCATGCTAGAAAACGAATTGAATAAAATAAATTTTTCGAAAAAATAAAAATTAAAAACTTTATAAATAAATATACAATTATATAGAAGTTTGCCAACAATCCTGATGTTATACACTTCATCCAGCGATGTCGGCAAAGAATAAGAAGTTCAATTTTGCCTGAAGCGAGTAACCTCTAGCATTTGACCACAAGAACTGCTGTTGAATACTTCCCATCGATATAGAAACATATGCTTCGTTTGTAAAGTGAGTTGCTTCGAACTCTACAGTTCTATCGTCACATTTTACGATAAACTTGTTCTTTAAGTCTTCAACAGGGAATCCGAATGTTCTAGTATAAGTATTAACTGCATCCTTGAATAAAAGGAACCATGTAACGTCTGCCCAGTGGTTTAATTTATGATCTTCCTTTGCTTCCTTCATTTCGATTCGGATTGGCAGCTTCATGTGTGTTGGTGTCGAAAGGATGATGCAATCTTCAGCAGCGATGGCCGTGGCGACATCAGAAGTAAATAATGAGGAAATCTTGAAAATTGCGTGTTTGTTTGAGAACAATGTGTTGACTGTGCAGATGTCTATTGCGGAAAATCGCTTTGTAATGAATTCAAACAGGAAAAATGTCAAATCAGCAGTTTTCATCGAGGATGTGAAGCTGGAAAGGGGAGTTGAGTAGATCGGAATGGAGGACTTTACTAGTGCTGGCAGCCAGACTGGTGTAAGAGTGCCTTTTTCGGATTCTACAGTGAAATCAAAATTAATAATTTCTCCTTTGAGTCCTTTAACGGGGATTCTCATAGAACTTTCATTTATGAGGTAGTTAAAGTTCTGTTCGCAGCCTTCTTTTTGTAAATGACGGAAAAGATTTTCTTGAAGCATAACTGCGGTCAAATTAACGAAAGGAATGTCTGTATTAGGTTCGTAGTGATACCCGTTAACTGCTAGTCTAAGGTTGTTCGAAAAATTCCATTCTACTTCCTTCTTTTCTTTATCTAGTTGAATAAGCATCGCTGACGATGTTGGAGGGACTTTTATTGGGTTGACTAGACCTATAATACTCATCATAGTAGCTTTATCGTAATATGTTTGAAGTTTATACTTTTTATGCGCATCTTCTAATTTTCTATAGTAAATTTTTGAATTTTGAACAACTTCTGAGAGTTCTTCGGCTGTTTTAGCTAATCTTTCAGCTGAATTTTGTAACTGGAGCTGTTTATCTAGGATTAAACCTCCAATATTGAGTTCAATTTTTTCATCTGACTGGGTATTTGAATATTCTGTATGGTTAATTGTGTAGAAATCCTTACCCTTATCTGCAAGGATATCGATACTCTTTAAAACTTCAAGTGTATTGAGCAAAGCTTGTCTTGCAACGAAAAGATGGAATTTAGAAGAACCAATTTTCTGCATAATTTGAATATTTTGGTTGTCGTTGTCTCTTCGGATGATTTTTTCGAGATTTTCAAGGTTCATATTTGCTTGTTCCCAGATTTTTAAGAAGTCTTTTATTTCATTTTCTGGTTCTTTGACATTTTCTGTTCCATCTGGTTCGATAAAATTAATAATTTGTGGTTCTTCAATAACGGTTAATGCTATTCGTTGATCTAAGCTCATTTGCAATAATTTTGTCACTTTTTTATTCACTATCTCCCAGAAAACACTTCTTTGATTACAAGATTTATGATTTGATGATATATTTATATTGTCATGTAGATATATTTTTAAATACCAATCGAATTTGCTGTAATACTTTGTATTTCAAATTCAAAATCTGAAAAATTAATTTAATTGATTTGATTGCACAATCTATTAAAAACTTATGTGTTGGCAATTCAATATTCGAAATAAAAAGACATTCTAATTTTTAAGGATCTGATTTTTATAACGATTATTTTGTATTCAATTTTAAAATCTTTACATAACCACCTTCTCATATTTCACTAGAATAATCTTTTTTTTCATTCAATTTATTATGAATCTTTTCTTTCTTCTCCAAATAAGGAAATTATGTTTAACAAATTCAAATTTTGTTTGTTACTACAATCCAGAGAAAATTTCCTCATTCCAAGATATAGAATCAATGCATGGTAACGATTTTGATTTAGAAATCGAAGTTCTCAATGAAACACCAGTAGTTGTATATGATCTTCCTATCAATCTAGTTATAAGGAGCTCCGTGCATTCACCAGTTACGTTTCTATCCATACCTGAATCTTTAACATTAGAAAATATCAAAACTAGTATACCGAGTACACATTCTATGCCAAGTGATTTCAAGAATTTAACACTAAAATCAGTAGACTTTTTTGATACACCGCAAATTACTTGTGATATTTTAAAAACAGATTTATATTCAATCAGATCTATCAGTAAAATCCATGCAAATCAACTTATAATTGATGAGTCGATAGACAAAAAATAGGATTTCAATATGGATGTCATTGTAAAAAATTTATTAGAAGTCAATCTTCGAAATTGTTCGATTGCATGGGGTTTTGGTGCTAACTACATCAGTGCTTGTGTCAATGACAAGATGAATATTACATTTTTCCAGTTTATTGACACAGATCTTGTTCTAAATATGGAACAAACATCAGTTTCATTCCAAACAAATACTTATTCATCATTCGCTTTAATAGCAAAGAAAATTTCTGTCAATGTTATGAATTCTTCCGCGTTATTTTACAATTATGAAACAAAACTCAACGCTGTTTACAATTTCGAATGTAGCTACGTAGAAATGAATATAGATAGTTTCGATGATACCATAACTACAAACGCTTCTCATATAAAACTCCTTACAGAGAAAGTTGGCTTTCATTTTGACAAATTCAACATTTACATGAACAATACTATATCGGGGATATACTCAAAAGAAGTTTATTTCAACAAAGTTTACTTTTTCTTCGGTTTTGAAATAAATTCAATAAATATTTCTCATTTCGAAACGAAAAAACTTAATACAATAAGTGCAAAATCAAATAACATGATTGGTAACTGGTATGTATATGATTTCCACATGCAAAGCTCTATTTTGAACTTTACAACTTTATATTTATATAAAACAGTAGATTTTGAAATTGATTATGCCCAGCAACAGTTTATTTCATGTCAAGAATTGCATATCTTTGCTCCTAACTTCAATGTTCGTTATCTTTTCGGAAAAAATAATATTGCAGAAGAAGATAAACTTCACAAGAGGTATTACATCATGAAAGTAGTAACACTGGTTCCGCATATACCATTGGATAACATCAAACTCATCCCTGTGGCCGTATATGATAAAAATACTGTAATTGAAAACGCCGATAAAAAATTTTCCACTTTACATATCAAACAGAGTCCTTCAAAATCCGAAATCTACTATGTACAGAACTATAATTTAGGATGGGCCATTTCCTACTATTGCTACGGCTTCTGCTCCCCTGGCGATGAACCGAAAACAATCTTGACTGATGATACAATCAATATTTGGAGAGATAGAATAAGTGAAGTGACAAAAATTGTCAAAATTGAGATAGTTACAAATTTACAAATACTTCCTGTTTTCGATGTAACTGATTTGAAATACAGGAACTTCACTTTGTCCGTCTATTGCCATCCAACTGAATTTTGTAATGTAAAGTTAATTTGTGACAAACCGAAAATTCCTCTCAAAATTGAAGTTGAAAATCTGATTCTTCAACTTACAGATTTTGGTGATGAGTCGTCATTTAGTCTAATCAATGGTTCTTTGAATGATATTGTTGATGCAACACGTTGCAAAGAAATTACAACTAATTTGGAATATGTCAACCAATTTTTGATAACTTCCAAAACGAATATGATCGTTATTATGCCAAATAAGAACTATATGTTCTCTTTCTGCGGTGATATGGTCTAAATAGAAGATGTTTTGCAGTTTTCTTCCCAAAAAATTGAAAAAATGAAAAACAAAAAACTGACATTTCACTTTTTGAATGATGTTATCATTGATGTCAGATATATTGGTCTTGATAACACTCCATTGGTTTATTTCGATTGTGACAAAAGTCTATTAACCAAAACATTTGGTTCTGTCAATGATTTTCAAGGCCAAAGTTTGATTGAAATCATTAAATGTGAAAATTACGAAAATACTGCGTTGAATTCAGACAAAATTCCATATAATATCTACTCAACGCCAAAGATTCATCTCATGGAAATAGGTCAATCAAATACAGGTATCTCTATTAACGCTAATTTGTTGGCTCATTCTTACCAATTAATTACATTTTTGAAATCACATTTAATTTTGAGAGAAACCGTTTTGTCAGAAGATGTTGATTCGAGTTTTTCATCTCCTTCCATCAATGAGAAACTGATATTAGAGAATCCCACATTTAACTGCAGTTTCAGGTTCAAATGCGTTAAAATCATTGGAGATTGTTACTTGATAAATAACGCAAGTCTTACTTTGTATTCGTATGACTTTATTAATTCGACTTTGTATGTAAATTCTACTCAAAACTGTTCTTTCTATTATGGGACAGAGATGGCAGATGAAAACAAGCCGAATGAGATTTATTTGATGAATGAAGGAGGAGGGTTTTATTTCGGTGCAATTGAAGGAGTCCAAAACTTTGGAGAAATTAAAATAGAGAGTGGAAAGAAAGGATATAAAATAGAAAAGAATTTAACTTCTTCTGGTGCTTATTACTATTATTTGGTTAAAATCAATCATAATGATCTTTATCTTTTGTTTGGAATCATTTCTTCTGTTTTGGTTTTAAGTGCAATTGTTGTTGTAATTTCTTTGTATACTTACAAGAAGAAGTTGACTTTGAAGAGAATGGAAGCTCAGAATACTGTTTTGTTTGGAGATGTACTGAATGCAGCTATTTAGCTTATCTTGTTATTTTAATGAATAAATGTGTTAAGTTGTTTACTATAGTTTAATTCAAGTTATTCTGTCTAAATTTCTTTCTTAAACATATGAGAAAAAAATAACGAATTATTCTGTCTTCTTATATACGAAAAAAAGAGATCTGACATTGTGTCAGATCTCAGTAAAAGTGACATTTACATGTCAAAAAAATAGAATGAGTTTAAGTAATTAAAATTGAGGGTGAGAGTAGTATTGTATGAAATAATATCTCTCACCCTCCAATTCATCCTATGGCGCCGAAAAAATTTTGGTGAAATGCGACCACATTTCACCAAAATTTCTCGGCGCCATATAGAGAACTAGAGCCTGTGAGGTACTGATACTATCCATGTACCTCGCAGGCTCTAGTTCCAAGCCAAAATGGCTAAAAATTGCCCGCAATTGTTCACATTGCGGGCAATTTTTAGCCATTTTGGCTGGGAATTGGAGGGTGAGAGTAGTATTGTATGAAATAATATCTCTCACCCTCCAATTCATCCTATGGCGCCGAAAAAATTTTGGTGAAATGCGACCACATTTCACCAAAATTTCTCGGCGCCATATAGAGAACTAGAGCCTGTGAGGTACTGATACTATCCATGTACCTCGCAGGCTCTAGTTCCAAGCCAAAATGGCTAAAAATTGCCCGCAATTGTTCACATTGCGGGCAATTTTTAGCCATTTTGGCTGGGAATTGGAGGGTGAGAGTAGTATTGTATGAAATAATATCTCTCACCCTCCAATTCATCCTATGGCGCCGAAAAAATTTTGGTGAAATGCGACCACATTTCACCAAAATTTCTCGGCGCCATATAGAGAACTAGAGCCTGTGAGGTACTGATACTATCCATGTACCTCGCAGGCTCTAGTTCCAAGCCAAAATGGCTAAAAATTGCCCGCAATTGTTCACATTGCGGCAATTTTTAGCCATTTTGGCTGGGAATTGGAGGGTGAGAGTAGTATTGTATGAAATAATATCTCTCACCCTCCAATTCATCCTATGGCGCCGAAAAAATTTTGGTGAAATGCGACCACATTTCACCAAAATTTCTCGGCGCCATATAGAGAACTAGAGCCTGTGAGGTACTGATACTATCCATGTACCTCGCAGGCTCTAGTTCCAAGCCAAAATGGCTAAAAATTGCCCGCAATTGTTCACATTCCCATCTTTTGTTGGTAAGACGAAGAATATGAAATAAATTATGAAGAAGATAATGATGAATAAAATATCACTTTTTATATTTTTGACACGTAAAGTTGTCACTTTTCTGTCAAACTGTTTTTATCGTTTTCGTATATAACAGTCTAAAAAATGTTCTCGCCTAAATGAAGCTCCTAGATTTTCAAATTTTGAGGAACTTGTTGAATATAATCAACCTGATACACGCCTTGTTTGCTTTACCAAAAAGAATTCAAAAATAATCAATTTATTGAGAAGCAAATCCGGTCAATTTTTATATGTATTCTTAAGACTATTCAGATTACATCTAATATTGGAATATTTGTTCTTTAAAGAAGTTGACAAACCGCTCGAAATTACAGTTGAAAAAATGATCTCATTAGATTCAGAAGAGTTTCAATATAAATAAAAAAATTTTAACCCCTAGAAAGGATTTAATTAGTTGTATACATTATGTAGATGCTTTATCATTTCTTCTATTTATCTTTATATATATTAAATCCCGTTAGGACTCACCCAGTATGAAATTTAGGGCGAGAATATGCATCATCAGATAAGAAAGGCTTTGACAATTATTCTATTATATTTTCAGTAATCATATTCCCTCATAATTTTATTGAACCTGCTTGTCTTATTTGATGTTAGTGTTCTAAACTATCTTCGTCACACTAAGAATGTTAGTCATTTTTCCAAGATCCTTTTTGATATTATCAGGTTGACCAAGATCTAATCTGTTGAAAAGCTATTTGGAAAATGGAGCTTATTTAGCAAGTGTGAAGTAGCGATCAGCTTGATCTCTTTCAAAATGGAAATTATTTGTAATTTGATCCATACGAGACTAAAAGCTGTCAGTAGATTAACCTCCTCAAAATTTCTATCCTTCATTTTAGCAACACCAAGAAATGGCTCTATCATTATTTTTCAATTCATCTGGGCTGCACAAACAATGTTTATCATTACAGCTAAATTAATGATTTCATTCTATTGAAAGAATATTGAGTAAAATTAGAAGTTTCTTGCTAATTCCATAACTTTGAATCAGAAAATCAAGGCATACTTGTACAGAATAATTATGTCTTATTACTTAGAAAAATTCATATCTTTGCAAATTTTTCCTTTCATTTGGTGCATATATCAATGCAAAATATGTTACCAAAACAAAATATCTACATTTTGCTGCTAGTTGTAACATGAGTTACAACTTTCACATATTATAAATATCAACGAGAAAGATCAAAATGGAAGGACGGCTCTTCATGTGGCACTTGAATAAACAATGAAAAATATATTTCATGCATTGCCATTAGTCCATGAATATGCCAGAACAAGTGAAATTAAAAAAATCTTTCTAATAAACAAAATTTTACACATACAAAACATAAAAAAAATTTAAATAAATATTATTTTCCGAAAGCTGTTTTCGCTCTTGCTCTTTTTGCTTTCATTCTCGTGAGTGTTCTCTTCACGTTCCTCATCTCTGCGTCATCCAGTTCTCTCTTATTTAGTCTTGTCAAAGCCCTCTTTGGTTCATTGTCATTTCTCCTTTGTATGTCAGTCAAAGATGGCAGTTTGAGCATCTCTGCCTGCAGTTTCTTTTCAATAGACTGTAGATATGGCAGTAACATTGCTTGTTCTTCCTGCATTTCGTTGATTTGTCTCTCTAAATCTTTGTTGTGTTTAATTGTCGCTTGGAGTTTGCGTTTTTGCTCTTCTCTCTGCTCTGTGATATAGTTTCTCATGTCTTTATTGACTTTTGTCGCGTATTTGATGGTTTTTGTACTGACATTTTCTTTAAATTTTTGGATTGTAATTTTAGCTCTTTCAATTTCACTCATTGTCTGTTCCAGCTCTCTCCTTGTTAAGTCATGTTGTGTTTTCTCCTTTTCATAATAGACTGTAAGCTTCTGATACTCTTCTGTAAGTTCTTGATAGTTATTTAGCATATCCTTGTGTCTTTTGACGATTGGTGCATTCACGGACTGTAATAACTCGATATTTGTCGCTTCTCTAGCACTAATACTTGACTCTGTAGTGTTTATTTCTTTCTTTAATTTTTGTATCGAATCTTTCGTTTGTGCAACGGTTTGATTCGATTGTGCAATCATATCATTTGTTGCTTGTTGTAAGGAATCAGCGTACGCCTGCAAACTCTTCTTTTCCTTCTGGTTAATTGTGATAATTCGATTTAAAACGTTAATTTCCTTTTGGACTTGTCTTCGTTGTAGAACGACTTGTTTAGTCTTTTCATTCATTTCGTCTATCTTCTCACTGAGGTTAATTGCTTTTTGTTCAAAAGTTTTTTCATATGTCGACGGAAGTGATTGATATTCCTTAACCAAGTAGCACAATGCTTTCCTTAAAACTAAAACAGCTTCGTTATGTGGCATTTTATCAATGTTCTTTTGTTGATCGTTATTTAAAAAAGTTGTTCCTGAAGCTTGCTCCAAATCAATGATTAATTGCCTTAATCCTTGACAACACTCCCTAAATGTCTTAACTTGGCATTCAAATGTTTGAATTTGATTTTCTTTATCAGCAATATCACGTTTCATCCTTTCTATCTCACGATGATGATTATCTGTTCCAAAGACAGATGAAGCAGTTCTTCTACCAGGTAACTTTAACCTTGGAGATGGTTTCTGCTGAAATGTGACAAGATTTTCCCCATAAGTATCTTCACTCATGAAGATTTTACCGATTTTTTTCTATTCAAAAATTAATTATTTTCCGATACTAAAAAATCTTTAATTATAGATCACAATGATTAGATATTTTGTATTTGCAGAATCTCGCATTCAATTTCGAATGTTGAGTGAAATTGCTTTAATAATATATAACACGCATTCGTGATCTGAACTTCTTCAATTGGTTGGAATTTGACACCATTTTGAATGAAGCCAATAAAATTGACACTTCAGACGGTTTTTTAACTATTATGTCCACCTCAGCAACATCAGTTAAGCTTGTTCTTCTTGGTGACAGTGGTGTCGGCAAAACATCAATTGCCACACAATACATCTCAGGCAAAGCACCACAAAGTGTTAAACCAACAATCGGAGCTGCTTTCGTTACGAAAAGTATCGTTGTTGATGGCCAGCCAGTTGAATTATTGATTTGGGATACAGCTGGACAAGAAGTTTATCGTGGCCTTGCTCCAATGTACTATCGCAGTGCCCTTATCGCAATTGTTGTTTTCGATATCACCCGCCAACAATCTTACGATTCCGTTTCATACTGGATTAATGAGCTTAAGGCTAATGCTGACAGCCGTACTATCATCGTTGTTTGCGCAAACAAAACTGATCTTGAAGACCAGCGCGCTGTTGTTGAAGTCACAGCTCAGGAGTTCGCAGAGTCTCATGGTGCCCTCTACGCTGCAACTAGCGCTACTACAGGCTCTGGAATTGATCGTATGTTCCAGATGGCTGTTGGAAAGTTGATGAAGGATCAGGCTGGAGAACCAGTCAACCAAAATGGCAAGCAGGGTGGTGGCGTCGCTCTTAGAGAAGAACAGAATACTAAGAAAGGCTGCTGCTAAAAATATTAAAACTATCTACGATTTTAACATTTGTCAGCACATTCATTTGATTAAAGCATAAAATTTACATCTAGTAATAATAGTAAAACCTACAACTTTGCCTAATTTTGCAAAAATATTTAAAAAACTCAAAGAGTTGAGAGATTAATATATAGTTATATGATTAGTGTATTTATTCAAGCAATTTGAGTATGATATACATATATATTCACCAAAATTTCAAATTTCATTTCTAAATTTAAGAGTTTTTCTTAATCTCTGAGCTATTAAGTTCAATAATTGTAATGATAGTAAAGAAAAATCATTTCCAAAATATGTAATTCATAGAACGAACATTTGTTAAAATGAATCTGCTCATTTTGTACATCTTATATCATATTAGGTATGCAATAATTGCAACATATTGAAACATACTATTGAAAGGCTTCATAATACAGCAGATACCTGAGAACGATAATGAAAGAAAATATTGCATTCATTTGAACATTAATTTTCTTTTGTTATCGTTCTCACTAGTGAATAATAACAAACTTTTTCATGCTTTCATTTTGATAGTTCAGCGATAAATGTCATTTTCTTGATGTTGTTGAGCAAAATGATGTTGAAGATAAAAACAAAGTTATGACGACTTTTCATGTTAAATCATCATAGCAATGTTCACAAATATGGAACTTAACCAATAGTTTGTTTCAAAACAATTGAAGTTCTTTGTTGCTCAAGAAACGAATCAGATAGTTACAAACTGAATTCAAAAACTTTGTGGAAAAAGCATGAGATCAATTTGGAGATGTAATTAAAGAGCCGAGTCAATTCGGAATATATCCAAAAGTGAATCGAATATATCTTTTCTTGCTTGATCCTGTAATTCTTTTTATTGCAATTCTAATAAAATATGCAACATGGTATTCTATTCGAAATACTCCCTGTATAGAAACTTTATTTGTTCACGCATTATAACTATTAGTGTGTATTATGTTCAATATTCATTATTTGGATCTATATGTAGCTTCACTACGAAATTAGTATGAATATTTAAATATACTACTTTAGGAAAGATTCTTTCATTAATCGAAATTGAATATTAATTCTCAAAGAAGAAGCATTCAATAAAAACAAATAAGTACTGTATGATCTAATCATTTCTTATGCATTATTATCATATGTAGGAAAATATTAATTATATATAAATTAAAAGTAGTATATGTGTATGGGTTGTGTGACTTTTTTTGTAAACGTAAGAATTCATACAATATTGAACGATTTTGTATCATTTTTTCTAACATATGAAGTAAAAAATGTATGATTCTTACAGTTTTTATTCTTACGTTTTTGAATAAATCAAGATTTTAAAATTTTCAGAATCGTAAGAAATTTACACTCAGCCCATACATAACGAAATAAAAAAAAATTAACATTAATTTTAAAATAATTTATATTTCATCACTTATAAAAGAAGCTATATATAGATGATGTCAGATATTCCGCGATTAATTAAACATTGTTTAAATCCTGAATGGAATCAATGGAGTCATAATCAAAGACCTCATAAATGAGAAAAATAAATTAGAAACTAATGATTATTTGAATTTATGAAATCAATTATTTGATTCATTCTTTCTTCAATAATTTCTATTCTTTTTGTTAAATCATCAATTTTCATTAATGAGGTGATTCTTGATTGAGGAATAGATTTCAAACTAATCACCCCTTTTATTTTTGAAATTTTGAATTCATCAACTTTAAACATTTTATTCAATTTACATGTTGTCAATTCTTCAAATAATTTTTTATTATTGGCATAATAGTCATTAAATTCTTCAACAGATGAAAAAATTTTTGTTTCAGTAATTGGTTTAACAACGTTTATTTTTTGTTGAACATCTTCACTTTCATTTATTTCTTCCTCCTCTGTTTCATTTATTTTTAAAATCGTTTTCATTTATCATTAAATAAAAATTAGAATATAAGTGATGAAATATATTTTTTAATTAATATTAAATCAGAAATGGCTGCAGGATTCTTTAAAAAATTATGGGAAGGAATTAAGAAAGCTGCGGGTTGGGTTCATCAAAAGATTATTAAACCCATTGCAAACTTTTTGGCACCAGTAGCGAAAACGGCAGGAACTATCATAGGTGGAGTATTAGGTACAAAAGCAGGTAATCCGGCAATGGGAGCACAAGCAGGTAACGCAATTGGTGGAATTGCTGAAGGAATACTTAATAAAATAGGAGGTAGATAGTGGAAAAATAAATATTATTTTTATCTTAGTATCGGTTGTAGTCTTTGATAAACTTTTTCTCCTTTATTTAATATTTCTCTTATTGGGGCGGCTTTTGGTGTTATTGATTCAGCAACGTCACTAATTACTTCTTTATTCTTAAATATCCAATTTGCTCCTTTCTTCATTGTTTCCCAAACTTTATGCGCTCCTCTTTTTACTTTATCCCACAGTTTCTTAAATATACCTGCAGCCATAGTTGATTATTTCATTAAAATTAAAAATTCATTTTCATCTTTTAATTTTGATTTTTTATTTAATAATAAATGACGACTAACTATTTGGTGCCAAACACTAAACCAATTAATGGAAATGTGTTTCATTCATTCGAAAAGATAAATGAAATATTCGCGAAGAATGACGGTAGAAGATATTATAGAGAACTTGAAAGTTCATGCTATGACTCTGATACTCCATATTTTGATGATAAACAAACTCATTTAAGAATTACAAATCCAGCTCATGATGTGAACCAATTAGGTGACACATATATTAAACGCAAAGTTAAAGCAACTCTAGTTTCAAATAAAGCTTTCACATGTGATGCCGCTTTTAAATGCATGCGTTTATTCGTTGGTTACAAATCATCAAATCAAAGCTTTAAACAATTAGAAGTAGAAACTGAAAGAGGTGATGCCGGTTATCTTCAGATGGATTGTGCCCGTGAATCTTTCGCATTTGCAACATATAAACCAAAATCAGAAAGGAAAGTTAAAAAGTTTGTTCATTCGTTATATAATAATGTTCAAAAATATGATAACTCAGTATGTGGTAAATATATTGACCCTTCAGAAGTTTTCAAGAAAGCAAATGAAGAAGTTGATATCACTTTTGATATGATTATTCCGGTAAATGATTTGTTAGCATTTCAGGCGTTCGATGATTATCCTAAATCATTTGGTGATATCATTCTTAAATATTATGTTTTCAGGGATACTTTAGTATTTTGTCAGGTTGACCCGTTAAGAGTTGCTGATTTACAAAATTACGTTTATGAAAAGATAACTGATGAAAATTATGAAAAGATTATGAATCATGTTTATAAATATGATCGCAAATTCCAACAAATCGGACTTCCTGCCAAATTAATTACAAGCTTAGCTGCTACATCTGCTGACGCAACAGTTGATAACGTTATTATTTCATGCACAAAGATGGAAGTTTTAGAGGATAAATGCATTACACCAGGATACGGTTTAATTGAAGAATCAGTTAAAGCAATACCACGTTTATTCAGTAAGGAAGATCCATTCATGATTCCAGCTCAACATATTGACGTTCGTTCACTAAATGGAGGTTGCATCACTCCTGAAGGTATCAGCTCAGATTTCTCATACGCTCTTCATAATGTTACAGATGTTGTGTTAACATTTCCGAAGAATGCAATGCAAAGAACGGTTTTAGAAAATCCAATGCTTCGAGGTCTTCAGGTCACTATAGATTCCAGAAACTTCCCCGATCAAGCGATGACCACAGTGGGCGACATATTCTTTACACGTATGCTTCAAGCTTCTGATTTAGATGGAGTGAATGAATGCACAGAAGAATACGAGGACTCATTAACTAGACCACTGAATGATGATAATGGCACGCCATTAGCTAGAACATGGAAAGACCAAACTTCATTCTTATGCACTATTCCAGTTCAACGTGATGGAGCGGGTATATTCTTTGATGGAATAGAAACTTTCAACTCACAAGTTACAGTACAAGTGAAAGCTTATCCAATCCATCAGAGTGAAAATGACACTTACTGTTCAAAAGTGACAAATCCTCCTCAGGTTTGGTTTACTAGGACTACGTATTGGACATGGACACCGGATGAAGGTTTGAAATATCATCCAACAGGTACACCACCGCAGTATAGAAGTTCATATGATGAAATATTGATGAATAGAAATGTTTAAAATTATAAATTTATTTTTGATTAAATGGATTTAAATTCTGAAGAATTAGCAGGAGTATATAATACATACGTAGATGATATGATTAATGAAGCATTGAGTGATAATAGAAATGCTCTATCTAAGGAAAAATTAATGAAAATTCCATATTCTGAATGTTACTTAAATTCAATCACTGCAGCAATTGGTAAACAAAATAAAGGTAAAACATTAACGATATTAAAACAAATTATCATTATTGCTAACACTTCCCCCCATTCACATGTGTTAATTTATATCAACCGTTCAGGTTCACCTTCAGATGATACATTTGAATCTTTAAAGCATTTAATCAAAATTCCAATTATTTATTTATCACAAGAAGAAGCAGAAGATTATTTAAAAAACTTTTTAATGTATAAAGAATTATATAATACAATCAAGAAGCAAGGATTAGAGGATAAAATTATTGATAAACAACGGGATGAATTATTTGAAACACTTTCTATTTCAAATTTTGATAGAGAATTTTTGCATTCACTAATTTTTCTAGATGATGCCGTGAAATCAAAACTAATAACTAATGAGAAATCATATTTTAATCAATTATTAACTCAATGTCGACACATTCAGTGTTCATTCTTCATGGCTGTTCAATACTTCAAAGCATTAAGCACAAACATTAAATCAAATCTATAGGGTGTCCAAAGGTGCGTTTAGCACAGCGCTCTATATGAGACTATTAAAGGAGATATATGCTGATTATAAATATATAATAAAAAATATGAATATATGTATATGATGAGTATGTTGTATTTTGGCGCCATGCCGGGATATAAAATGAATTTTGAGACAAGAGGCGGTTTCGCGGGAAATTTTGGCGTGATTTTTTTCATTTTTTTAATGAATCATAAAGAAAACATCCTCGCTCTTGCAAAAAAATGCAAAGACTGTAAAAAAATCTACGAGACATTGGTAAAATGCTTCGGTATGGATGCTCCTAGCTATTCCACTGTAACGTATCATGTTAGGATGTATCACTTCATGAACAAAAAGGCGCCCATCATAAAAATTGACAAAAAATCGCCGGATCAAAGAAAAATCAAAGCAATTCTTCAAGCGCTAGATGAAGACCCAAGAGCATCACTCAGAAGGATAGAGGAGATGACAAAGATACCACGTACAACAGTCAGTTATTATCTGCACAATTATTTGAACTACAAACTAGCGTATACACGTTGGGTTCTGCACAACCTTAATTCAGTTCAAAAAAAATCTAGAGTCCAATCTTCGAAAGAGCTCCTCTCTATATTGGGTGCGTATCAATCCAAGAAGTTTCGCTTTTTAGTAACAGGGGACGAGTCTTGGTTTCAATATGCAACAGAAGCCAAAATCATGTGGATCCCGAAGGATGAAAATCCGCAAACATTCCCGAAGAAAAAAATTGACACACCAATGATGATGTTGTCGGTTTTTTGGGGCGTGAATGGCATCATCGCAATTGATATTCTTCAAAAACCTAATACGATGAATGCTCAGTATCTAATTGACAATGTTCTTACTCAAATTATCAATTCTGATGAGTTTGAGAAATCCAAACAACAAAAACAAAAGTTTGCAATTCATTTTGATAATTCAAGAGTTCACAAAAGTCATAAGGTAATGAATTACTTGGTGGAAAACAATGTCAAAGTTGTTCCAAACCCAATTTATTCACCTGATATTGCACCCTCTGACTTTTATTTATTCGGCACGCTAAAAAAGAGAGCTGAAGGACGCAAATTCGCGAGTCCAGATGATCTTGAAAATTTTGTAAGAGAGCAATTTGAGCAATTTTCTCATGATGATTTAAAGCGTGTCTTTCAAGCCTGGATCGATCGCTGCGAACGCGTGATTGAATCCAATGGTGATTATATTTAAATAAACTTTATATATATGTAACTTGTTTATTTCTATTCGCAGTATTCAGGTTTGTGCTAAACACACCTTTGGACACCCTATATCAACACTTTTCATTTTCAGTGGGTTTAGTCGTCAACAGTTGAACGTTATGCTTTATCAAGTGAATTTACCAATGAGCATTAATGAACTTTACACACAATATCAACAATTAGGTGAACATGGAAAAATAATAGTTGATTTAAATAAAGGAGGTGTTAAATTTGATTAACTTTTTATAATTAATTTTTATTTTTTATTTATAATTAAACATGACAGAAATAGCAAATCTTCTACAGGTTCCATTAAAACAAGGGACAAACAAAAAGGGTGCATATTATAATAGAACTATGAAAGTTCCAGATGGAATGAAAGAATTAGTTCATATTGTTGCTGGTCTTCAAAAAGATGTTAAACAAATGAGAAACGTTTTAACATTACCAGAAGCTCAAGCATATGCCAAACGTCATGGACCAAATTGGGAAGCACATGAAGCAGACATTACAGGACCAAATGGAAAGCCTGATGGTATAAATGAAGTTTTCGTTACTGATGGTCAAGGAAATATTAAAGTCATAAATGGGTATAAATTAACAATGACGGATTATCCTAAACGTAAAGCATATAATGAATGTTATCCTTTGCAATTTGATGAAAATGGAAAAGCTGTTAAACAATACATTGGAGAAGGTGAAAATGGTCCAACGTATTCATACCATCTTATTCCATATTCTTATTTCAAGGAAAAATTAAATGCTGTTGAAGAGGGACCGGATGGATTACCACGATATGTTAATCAGTTTGATGGTCAATATGCAAATATTAGACCTGAAATTTCAGCTAAGAAATTCTTTAAAGTTGCTTTATTCGATCCAGTGTTCAATGAACAGAAAGAAGCAATGAAAGCAGAATTTAAACCAATTCAAGTGGCAAGAATTTCTTCATCTTCACTTTCAGAAGCGTTCAAGGAATTGATAAAGAAACCACTTTATTCTCAACAAGGTTATAACTTTGATTTAATTAAAGAAAGTGATAGACGTAAATTAGAAAAATCAGATGGTTTTAAGAATGTATGTAATGAAATGATTAAAGATATTGTAAATGATAAAATAAGACTGGAAGAAACTCAAAGCAATATCAATAACATAATTGGTGCAGTTACAAAGAAAGTATAAGCAAACAAGGATGAACCTTGGGATATTACCGTAACAACTAAATAAAACTTTAAATATATTTTTCTTTTTTTATTCAATTATAAATGAGAAGACGTTTCACTAGTCAAAAGAACACTAACGCAAAAGCAGAGATTACGGTTGGTTATAACGTAAATGATGATAAATCACGAATTATTCAAAATGTTAAAGTTAATGTTAGTCCTGAATTAACAAGGTCAGCAACTCAACCAAATTTATTAACTCGTGACTTACCAAAAAAAGAAGATGAACCCGGTAAAGAACCTGTTGAAATTCCCACTTATCCAACATACCCCCACCTCTTTCATCAAACATCGAGAACCCAGGAATCTACGATTCCAGTCGCAATGCGCCATATAAAATAGACATTAATTCTGAATTAATGAAAATTTACCGTGATATAATAATTAATAATTATGATTCAATAATAAATTTAATTGACCAATCCGGTTTAATTATTTTACCTTATGAATCATTAATTCACATTATTGCCATTCTTTGTGATGTTCAAGATTCAGACGTTAAGATTCAATTTTTCATAGATGATGAGGTTTCATGCTGCGGAACAGTTGCAAAAATAAATCCTATAAAGGATATTAGCACAATTAAGATATCAAAGAACGGAACAACAACTGAACTTCATTTAACATATAATGATATTTATAATAAAATAGTTGATGAATATAAAATATCACTTGAAAAATTCTTTGTTAAGGCTATTTAATATTCAAGCATTAACATTATCGAATAATAATCCTTTGAATCATAATCAATAATAATTGACCTTTCACCAGTTTCTATCGTTTGTTTTATTTCTTTTTGTTCCCCACTATCCGGATCGGTCATTGTAATTGTTTTTGTTATAGTATCAGGTTTATCTTTAACTTCAATCTTTTTTCCATCGGGATATTTAAACCAAAATTCCAAAAATTCGATATTGTCAATCTGTTCATATTTTAATCTATCAATTACATTTTTAATACCATCTGAAAATCTTATGAAATGGTCATTATATGGGTTTGATTGAACTAAATTTGAATGAAGTGAAATATAACCTGTTGATGAATATGACATTGACTCATATTTTCTGAAAACACTAAAATTTATAACATGAATGAATTTCTTATTCGTTGAATTTATGAATTCTTGAGGTAATCTTATTCTAGTTTTATTTATCACTGGAAAATAACGCTTTACCATATTTTTAATCGTAATAAAAATGTCAATTATCAATATTATTTCGAATAATAACTGTAAATTAAATTTAACAGTTAGCGGAATTTATAATGTTACTCTCGTTTCTGTGAGTGGTAAATTTAATCCCATTCTTTTAGACCCTTCAGATTATATATCATTTATTAAAGATGACCATAAAAAACGTATGATATGTATATAAATAATGTGATAACGAAATGGGATATTAACACGATTTTAAGTTATTTAAATGAATCATTTATCATATGGTATGAAGAAAATTTTAAATCAAAACCTGATAAACTTTTTTGAACTTGATGAAATAAATAACCTTATTAAATTCCCGCTGAAAATTAAATTTTGTACTCCTCATCTTCGTTCATTGTTGTGGATATTAAATTTTGAAAAAGATGTTGGGGATGTTTTGTATTCTGACACCGGTTCCAATTTCATTTTAATCAAATGTGATAAAGTTAATACCCCAATGAGATTTTCACATCAAACATTAGACCCTAACTCTTACCCATCAATACAAAACATTTTATCCATCAACTTAAACACATTTTCTTTATCATATCCGTTTCAATTATCCGGGAATTCATTTATTCTTCATTCAAAAGATTTATCAAATATTAAATTTAGAGTAACTGACCTATTTGATTGTGATTTAGAATTCATGAATGAAATATTATGGCAATTTCAAATAGAAAAAATAGGTGATGAGATAACAGATTAAATATTTATTTTTAAATCATAATAAATGATTAAACAACAGCAACCACAGCAACTTAAGGCACAAAGCACCCAGGTCCCTCAGACCATTACATACGCCATATATGCATATAATTCAAAGACGGCTGAACAAACGCAAAGGTTGAAATATGGAGATTTGGAGATAGTATTGAAAAATGACCATTTCGAATTCGTTTGCAAGGGTGGTGCAGTGATATCAAATATAAAAGAAATTTTATTTATGAATTCAAAAATTAAAGGTATAACGGATGATATAACATCAATTCCACCAGAAGAACAAAGATATTACGCATTAAATGCATTTCCTAAAGTTTTGAAGATTGGAAGATTTAATTTAAATGAGGAATTCATAAAAGGTTTCCTAAATGACATAATGAAGAAAGCAGATAAGGAATATGTGGATGAAAAAGATAATGAAATTAAAGAAATGGTTGAATGGTATCATGAATGGACATCAAAGATTTTAAAAACTAAAGCTGATACAGGATGGGTTGCTGCTGCGTTAGAGAAGAAAGCAGATAAGGAATATGTGGATGAAAAAGATAATGAAATTAAAGAAATGGTTGAATGGTATCATGAATGGACATCAAAGATTTTAAAAACTAAAGCTGATACAGGATGGGTTTCAGGATGTTTAGACCTTAAAGCGGATAAAACATATGTTAACGATGAGTTAATGAAGAAAGCAGATAAGGAATATGTGGATAGTGAGTTAATGAAGAAAGCTAATATATCATTTGTTAATGAAGAAATAAAACAATCAGAGGTCTATTTTACTCCACCGTTTTTAAATTTTATGAAATCATCAGATAAAACCTTTGATATAGATTCTTTTGAATGGATATGTTTCGATGGAGTGACCATGTATTTATTTTATACAGCTGGAGTGCTTTATTATTTTAAAACAAATGATTTTCAAAACTATGAATCATTTACTCCATCTGTTTTGAATCCTGATACACGAAAGCCAATCATTAATCCAAGAATTTTATATGTTGAATATAATAACGGCAAATTTATGGGAATGATAATGGTTGAAGATGATTTTTGCCCTTGTTATTCATTCGATTGTATCCAATGGTTCAAATGTAATTTAAATCAAGATGCTAAATTTAAATATTCAAATAATCCTATTAGATGCGTTAATAATAAATGGGTACTAATTTATGAAGTCAATCAAATTTTCATTAGTGAGGATGGGATAAATTATTATATGTTTAGTATGATGTCATCAGATTTGGAAATTGATTATACAAGTAAGTGGTATTACATTAACAACATGTATTTTATCCTACAAAATGATAAAATTTATAGATCATCTTCATATCACAAGGTCAATTTGAACAAATTTTTCAAGCTGATGGAGACATTGAAGCTTTATGTTATGGATCAAATGTTTATGTTCTCGTTTCAGGTGAAATGGTCTATTCATATCCTGTAAGTTATAACAGACATATTTATTTATCACAGGATTTATCAAATTGGGAATTGGTTTATTCATTCACTCCAAAACTTACTCAAAATTATAGATTTACAAATTTATTTTATATTGATGGGTATTTCATTGCTTTAGGATGTGGTGATTTAGTAAATATCAGTAGTGATGGAAGAAACTGGTCTGAAATCACAAAATTTCAAGATGTTAGAAAAGCAATTTTCAAAAATAATACGTTTAAGCCACGCGTCTAATATCTATCATCAAAAATGAATCATCAAGTTTTATATCAAATGTTATTTTTGGCTTACGTAATAAAGGTAAAACATATTCATCATAATATTCCTTTTGGTATAGTTTTAGAATCTTCACTAAAACAAATGGAGAAGTCATTAAATGTGCATATCTATCACGTGCTTTTTCAAAATTACTTTTTGCATTTTCTGTTAAACTGCAGAAGTTATAAACGTTATCGTATGCTTCATTAATTAAATGATTAGGTAACGAATTAATTGCTTGAAACAGTGTGAATAATGTTATTTCTTTTTCTAAATTCATGTTTCCACCATCATTATGTACTTCAAAATCACAGATGCCATCAACTATGCTCTGAGCAAGTTTATCGTCAATGTTTACATCTTTGTTTTCATTCATGATAGTCTTTATTTCTTCATTCTTCTGTTCAACTCTTACCTTAATATTCAAATCATTTAATATATCATTCACTGTTCTGGTTAATGTTGAATCATAACTTCCACGAATGAATGAGTATGTATTGATTGGTTCTGTTGCATTCTTGCGAACTCTTGAATCAGCCATAACTACTAAAGAACGCTTTGAATCATCCATAGAAGTCATTATGTCAATATCATAATCATTGCAGGAATAACATTTAATCATTCTGTTCGAGGTTGAATAGAAGAAATTAGTGTTGCAATAAATGTGAAGACCTCCTGAAGCGGTTTTAACGATAACATCTTTATCCGAAAGTTTTGATAAAATATCTTTTCTAACTGTTTCTTTAAGTTCATCATTGTATGATTTATTAATATCAACATCTATAATCGTTAAATTTGAAATTTTATTTGCTAATAAAGCCATACCAGTTTTCCTTCCTCTTCCTCCATCATGTTTGAGGTAGTTATGTAAATCAATCATGTTTTCACCAATTCTTTCATTGAGGGTTTTAGTTTCTGTCATAACTAATTCCTCAACTAATGAATCAATAACTTTTTCATCAGAAACGATATAGTTGCTGTTGTTGTTTGTTGCCGTCATTTATATAGAAATAAAAAATAATTTTAAAACTAACTTTATTTTTGGACTGCATCATATTTCCAGGACTGTTGTCAAAATGTCATGTTGTCACACTTTTTCAGAGAAGTTAAATGACCTGGTAGCACATGGTAACATGGTAGCACCTTCAGTTCTTCAAAAATAATTCATAACTGCCTTTCTCCTGTGTTGTTGTCAAAATGTCATGAGGTTAGAAATGAGGTTAGATCTAACCATCTACCCTAAAAATTATTTTTGGTGAATTCAATAAAAATAAATGGTTCATTTACTCACAATATTTTTGTACAAAACAACCCCAAGCTTTTAACTTCTTTTCTGCAGCTTCTAATGCTATCTTAGCGAGTTCATATTCTCTAAATTCTCTCTTTAAATTTTCTTGTTCCCATTGGTCTAGTTCGTATGGAGAATCTCTATAACCATAACATAACTCACGTTCATGTTCTAATTGTTTTTCGCACATTTTTCCAACTTCTTCTTCAAACAAAGGTTTAGCATTCTCTACTGTATCTTCAAGTTCTTCTTCATCTAATTTCTCATGAACTTTCTTGTCTATGGAGTCCATAATATCTTTGACATAAAATGCATACTTTACAGAGCACCATTCAGCAACAAAATGAACGAGGTCAGGATGTATGTAAATACCTTTGAATTCATTTATAACACCCTTAGTAAGCTCATAAAATGCTT